AAAACAAAGTTTCATCAATGAGTCAAATTCCCTTAGGCGTGATTTCAAGTACAAATTCCCTTTAAACCTGCAAAAAGGGGCGTGGTCAAGCAATAACAATAAATCACGTATAATCAAGCAACATATGATTAATACAACAATCATCATCATAAGAACATCATCAAAATATTGTTAGTAGTAAGATCCTAGGCATGATACTAAACGGATTAATAACAAATCCTAACATGTCACTAATAACAAAATCAAAGTGTTATGCTAAACATGATACTAGAAATCAAAATAATATTGTAAACATGATTTCTACTCCAAAATCAAAAGAATAATAAAAAGGATAATTGAATTACTCAATTTGATGCCTCAACCTTGTTGCTATTAAAACAATACACACCTAAGTAAACTTCAAGAGATTTAAATCAATAAACTAAGTAAATCAAATATGAATTGAAATATAGATTTGGGACCAAACCCTCAGAACTATCAACCTTTCACGTCGAGGTCGAAGGCAACGTCGAGTATGGCTAAGAGTATTCGAATTTCGTGAAGGAGGTATTATGACTGATTTGGGAGAATATCAAGGATGTGTTTAGGCTAAGGCTAAGAACATGGGTGTTTAAGGATTTTGAGAATTATGATGACTATTGATGGTTATTGTTGATGATATGAAAACAGGGAAAACAACCCCTATTAATAAGGGAAAAAGAGAGTATTGACGATCATAAAAGATCAGAAGTTCCAAATAAAATAGAACGAGTTTTGATGCGACGCGCCAGGGTTGTTGCGCCGCGCTGGGAGCTGACGCACTGCGCCAGGGCTATCGCTGTGCGATGGTTCTAGCATCGCGCGCTGGTTGTAAGGGATAACAAAGCCTTATGGAGTTTGATTTCTAATGGAATTGTATTTCCGAAAGATTCCGGACGTCTCCGTATCCGAATAGAACAAGGATTATCAAAAAGATAAATTAGAACCTTATAGAGACTTCTAAAAGAGTCCTAATTGGTTTAGGATTAGGAATATGATCATATGGGGCCTAAATAAGATATTTGGACTCCACATAACCATTTGGTCGTAGCTAAGGTGGTCCTAGGCTCGGTTTGGGCTCGGTTTTGTATTTTGGCCATAACTTACTCGTTTTAAAGCGGATTTGGGCTTATAATACATCGTTGGAAATCCAACAGTAATTTGATTCGGACGTTTGTATGACTTGGACATGAAATGAATGATTTTTAAGGACACGAAATGGATGATTTTGGGTTTAAAGGCACAAAATGATTGATTTTGGGTTTAAAGGCACAAAATGATTGATTTTGGATTAAAATATTTTAGGTAAGGTTAGGAATATGGTCAAGGCTTAAGGAAACTTCGCGAGACTCTTCAACTCTTTACCGAACTCGTTAATCCAAGACGTGAAAGGTACTCATCACCAGGTTTGGTTTTTTTGGGGAGACACAATCAGGTGTCTACTAGAGCGAATTTATTTTGTTTTATCATAGGATTTCTTTGTTTAGTATAATTAATTTTTTTGTTAAGCAAGATAATTACGCCATTAATTAGTTAAAATTCCAAATTTTAGAGTTTAAGGTTTCTTAGCAATTTGTTCTCTCAACACTCTTTTGGTTTATGCAATTCATAATTTCCGTTTATTTTGGTAATGATTTCTTTCCCTTTTATTTCTAGTAATTTTATTGCTTTGATTAATTATGTCTTGTTTAATTATTTTGCTTAGTTTAGATTTAATTATGTGTGAGTAGTTTATTTCTAGGATTCTTGGGGATCCATAAATAATATGAAGGGATGATTTATTATTGTTAATTGTTTGGTTTAATGCTATGAAATTAGATTAGACCTTGTTTAATTATTTGAGTTACGCAATACTAATTCGAGATTTGACATATGAGAATTGATGTTTAGTCAAGATTTATAAATGGTTAAGTCAAGATTCGAGAGATGTGATTTAATACCGCTAGATTAATTATGTGATTGTAATACGTAGTGAAAGCCTTTTCTGATCTGGTTAATTTATGCATTGATAACTGATTGTTGTCTTTCATCCCAGAGTATTATTTATTGGTGAACCTATACTCTAGGCTTTGATTTATTGTTATTCTTATAATTCGTAATCGCGTTAGTTTATTTAGTTCCTTTAGTATAATTCATATAAAATCACAATCAGTTACTTAATAATTTAGAGTATATTAATTTATTAGGAATAAAAGAACGTTGTTTCCCTGTGAATTCGACCCTACTTTCATATCTATTTTAATTAGTGATTTTAAGAATTATTTTTGATTAGGTGATACGACTTTAGCCAGTCATATATTAACATAATTTTAAAAAAATATATAATAACATAATTGTATGAGATAAATTCTTCTTATTGTTTTTTGAACAAATAATCTAATTTTAAAGTTGTAGTACTAAAAGTATAATAATAAATTTTTATAAAAAAATTTAGATGTAGTAAAATACATACTATCTATTATCGTCGACAAGTTTATGTAGACACAAATGTCTCATCTACCAAATAATAAAATAACATTAAGATCTTCCCTCTTCAGTAAATGAAATTGATCGCTAATTTCTTCATGATCCAATACCTTAACAATTTTACTATTATAACAATAAATAATTGTAGTGCAAACATATTTAAAATAATAGAGCAAAAATTTGTAATTACTAGAGTATACCTGTGCAATGCACAGTATATATATTTTACATAATGATATTAAAAAGTATTTAATAACAAAAATTATATTTCAAATACGGGAAATTAAATTTTATATGGTAGCTAACTCATATATGTGGCTGGCCACACCGCATATGTGGCCAACTATTATGGGAGTTATTTATCAGCTTTATAGAGGTTAACCATTCAGTGTTATAGAGATAACCTTGTTAGTGTAAGGGTTACTCCGTATTGGAGTTACTTTGTTCTTTTGCAAGCAGTCACAATGGTGGCTTGTCGCACAAAAAACGTGTTGTATATTTATTTATTTTTTTGTTGATGATTATTGAATTAATGATAAGGTAGTTATTGAACATTTTTTTGAAATATCAGCCAATGTGCATACCCGTGCTGATGCACAGATTATATTATACGTGAAGGAAAACAACACGAAGTGAAACGTTGGTAATTATTGGAATTCCTTGAAAAAATTACAAATAAAAAAAAACGAAATTATTGGGATGGGTAGAAAACATGATGTATACATTTTTTGTTTCACAATGTTCATATGTGGCTGGTCACACCGTATTGTGGCCGGGATATTTGTTTAGGGGTTACTCAATTGGTCAAGGGTTACTCGGTAAGGGGTTATTCGGTTGGTCAGGGGTTACTCTGTTAGAAGTTACTCGATCAGGGTTATTTGGTCAGTTAGGGGTTACTCGGTCATCAGTCAGGGGTTAATTGGTCAGAGGTTAATCGGTCAGGGGATATTCAGTTGATCAAGGGTAACTCGGTCAGTCATGGCTTACTCAGTCAAGAGTTACTTAGTCAAGGATTACTCAGTCGGGCAAGAGTTACTCGGTCAGATGTTACTCCGACAAGGGTTACCTAGTTAGTGTTTTGTATGTGTCAATCTGACACACGGTGAGGCCAACCAGACAAAAAACGTGCTATTTTGATTTTGATAATTATTGAATTAATAAAAAGGTGGTTATTGAGTGATTTTAAAAAATATAAAAGAAAACACAATTGTTATTTTTTTATAAAGAAAAATAGTGGATCTTTTTTTTTTTTTCCTAAATGAAGTACACATAATTTAAAGATTGATTTTCAAGTGTTATGCAGAAAAGTTAGGAAAAAACGTGCAATAATAATATAGATTCCTTGTAATTTTGGGGTTTTTAAAAACCAATTTATTGAATGATACAAAGTATATTAAAATAGGTAATTTTATGTGTATTATTTTTTTGGTAATATTAAGTAAAATGGATAGTATGTGTGTTATTAGGAAAAATAATAAAAATAGTAGAAGTGGAAGTTATTTAGAGGGTTTTTTTTTTTTTTTATGGAAGTTATTTGGAGAATAGTGCAACAAAAAAAACAAAAAAAAAAAAGAAAAAAGAAAAAAAAAAAACAAAAAAAGAAAAAGGGAGTGCATGAGAATTGAGGTTTTGGAGAAACCTCATTAAGTGACTCTTAAATTATATACACAAGTACTAAATCCAGTACAAATAACCTAAATGCAGAAAAGATAAAAAAACTTTAAAAAACTCAAACGATCAAATTGCCCTTGAAATAATTATAACCTCCAATCTATTTCTTCCTATATCTATTGTTAAGGAGTCTTCTCAAATCATCAACAGTGATATTCTTCCCCATTTAAGGGATAGATTATGTTCTACAACAATCTACATACACTCATGGTTCACAGTAGTTTTATGATATGTGATGTGGTTCTCCATATCATCCTATATTAATCTTGTTCTTTTCAATAGTTGAAATTGAAAAAGAAAACCAAGAGGGTACCGTTACCATCTTCTCTATTCGGTAGTTAGCTTTGAATTCTAGCCAAAGGAACCAGTAACTTTGGCCATGTATTGGTTCCTCCATTCGTAATTACTATCACCTATTGGATATTAGTACCGGAAGTCGAAGACAATTATCGGCAGGTGAAGACAGTAGTGTAGTGCCATGATTTTTGAAATAAATTTGAATATATTTAAACATAATCTGATGTTTTAATATGAATTTGAAGTATGTAACATGTAGTGGCTAATGTCACGAATTGACTTGATATGGTGAACGTTTTTCCAATTTGAGCTCTAAACGTAAACTATTGACAAAAATGGTTGCGTGGCAAAACTATTTACCAAACTAAGCTTCCAGGGTAAATCGCTGTCTCGGACAGCGTTTTACCCCTGGTTTTTTTTTAAAAAAAAAATTCAACTGGTAAACGCTGTCTTAGACAGCGTTTTACCTTCTGTATTTTTTTAAATTCAGTAGGGCATAAAACGCTGTCTCGGACAGCGTTTTATCCTTGGGTTTTTTTTAAAAAAAATTCAATGGGTAAAACGCTGTCCGAGACAGCGTTTTATGCCCTGTTTTTTTTTTTAAATGAAACGCTGTCCGGGACAGCGTTTCATGGCCATATATCAGCATGTTCACTTCAGCAGAATGCGCAAGAACTCAACCTCAACCTCAACGCTTTCCCTCCTCCCTCTCACACTAAACCACGACCGTACTCAAACACCCGCATTGCCGCCGCCGCCCACCCTTGCGCCACCGCTGCTGCCGCCACCTTGCTGCTGCCCTCCTCCCTCTCACACTCACTCACTCAATTTCGTGGTTAGCCCTAAACTGAATTTAGTGTAATTGCATAGTTATTGTGGTTAATTATTGTGAATTGTATGTAATTGCTCTTACTTGTTGTTAATTCATGTCAATTGCATGTAATTGTTGCTAATTATTAATGAAAATGTGGTACATTGTTGATAATTATTGATGGTGATGTGGTACATTGTTATTGAAATTGTTCATGACATTGGTGAAGTTGATGATGGTGAAAATGTTGAAGTTGTTAATGGTTGAAATTGGTGAGAAGAGATGAAATTGTTGAAATTATTGAAATAGTTTAGGTTAAAATTGTTGAAATAATTCAAATTGTTCATGAAATTGTTGAAATTGGTGAAGTTGTTGAAAGTGAAGTTGTTATAGGTGAGAAGAGTCTTATTTCAGTGTTGATAATTTACCTCGCTCTAGATTTCGATAATCCTAAAATGTGTTTTGGTTATGTAGAATATGGCGTCACAAAATGTAGTTAACTGAAATTCGTTGTAATCGTAGATGGAGGAATTATTTTGTAATAGAAAATTTTGATTTAATAACATTTGGAACATTTTGATTTAATAACATTTGGAACATTTGATCGTTAACATTTTGGTTAATTGCTAATGCGTTAACTCTGTTGGGATTTGTTAAATTGCATGTGAACAGATACGATGGACGGTGAAGATCGTACGCCTGGACCCGTTGACCCTTCTGTGCTTACACTACAGGGCACACACCGCAGCGTTGCCGTATGGGATCAGACGGTAATATTGCATTTGTTTGTTCATGGACTACAGCTTGTTGAGTTTATATGGTATATGATCTTAATTTCTTTCTAACAGGTTGATCCGGCAAAGCAGCTCGTTTGCAGGCATTACACCACCAGGTTCATGGTGGGGTGGGGAATCGATCCTCGCGTTTTGGCGTACGTCGAGTTTGTCGGTTTAGGTGGTTTTCACCGTATGGCGTATAGGGAGATCGATCGAGCGCTTGTCACTGCGCTCGCGGAGAGGTGGAGACAGGAGACGCACTCCTTCCACCTACCTGTTGGTGAGACGACCGTTACGTTACGGGACGTGGCGATTCTTACGCGCCTTCCAGTACATGGGTCTGCGGTGACAGGACACGCGTTAGTCGATCCCGTCGGTTTGGTTGGTCGGGTACTTGGTGTCCAGCCAGGTCCCGCCGATATTAGGGGATCCGGGTTGAGGACCGGATGGGTCCGTGAGACTTTCCGTGAGCTACCACCAGGGGCTGATGACGCCCAGGTTCAGAGATACGCCCGGGCGTACTTGTTCTTCCTCATCTCGGGCGTGTTGTTCGGGAATAAGAGCGGGAGCCATCTCCAGCTCATTTACGTGCAGCTGTTGGACCACGACTGGGATCATATCCGAGGCTACAGCTGGGGTAGCGCCTGTCTGGCGACGTTGTATCGCCAGCTGTGCAGAGCATCCCACGTAGGTGCTAACGAGATTGGAGGTCCCCTGATTGTCCTCCAGGTACCTCACTTATTTCTGTACCAAAAAAACTATTTCACCACGCACTTACATATTTCATACTGAAGCTAGTTTTGTGTCTCTGTGTGCCAGTTCTGGGCTTGGGAGCATATCCATGTAGGCAGACCAGGCAGACCTGCGATACACCGTCAGGGGGAGCAGGACCAGGACGACCAGTACCAGGCGTACGATGCTCCCCCGCTCCCTACACCGGATGAGGCATATGGTTGCAGGTTCGATACAACTTTCATTGAGTTAGGCTTTATTTAATGCGCGGGGTTGTTAACTGAAACATTGTTCGATATTAGGTGGGTGGTACCCAGGCTGACACATGCTCATGCGGCGAGGGGTCTTCCGTATTACCGAGACGCCCTAGACCGACTCACCGAGGACCAGGTAACAATTTAAAATACAGTTTTAGCTTTTTTGTTTTAACATTGTACTTGTTGCGAACTAACATATTCATAATATTACTGTTGATGTGTATTTACAGGTGACATGGGACCCGTATGTACCTGACTTGGTAGATGCCATGCCTCCACATCTGCTAGACCATCAGGCGGAGTGGCGTGCTAGGGTCCCCCTGATCTGTTTCGAGGTTGTGGAGAGTCACCTGCCCGACCGAGTCATGAGGCAGTTTGGACTACGCCAGACTATCCCACAGGGGTGTGACACTAGTGTACAGCTTCACGGCATTGATCGTCGGGGAAAGGGGGAGACCAGCTGGGCGCTGGAGCATTGGCGTTTCCTTCAGCTATGGGAGCAACGGTTGGAGTTCATCGTTGGAGGTGATCTAATGCAGGGGGCTATGGATCCGACGATCCGTACATGGTGTGGTACAGGCGTATCACACGACGCTTCATCAACCCCAGCTACGCACCACCATCCACACATTACCATCCAGCATATGACATCATTAGCGGATATGTGAGTTATTATTTTTCTACTCCTTTTCAACAATTTCCATATTTGTATGCCATAGATCTGACTGATCGATGATTACTGCAGGCGGCGGATATGGTGGCGATGGTTGATGCGCTATCAGTCTCCCTTGAGTGCGGACCCACTAGAGCCCAGGTCGAGCAGGTGCGAGATATGGGCGTCGCTACCTTACGGAGATATGGTCACGCTCATCTCGCCCACCGGCGGGGCGGTCATGATGGCAACTCACAGTTCGATCTCGGCCAGAGCAGCGGTGGATGTGATCCTACGTCACCCAGACACGCAGAGGATTACAACATCCACAGTACTGCGCCCTCTGGTACCCAGGAGGACCCCTCGTCCAGTCAGCTGACTCCCCCACCGCCCCGAGACCCATTCACCACCGTCACTCATTACAGGCTGCGACGTGTCAGACGGAGGGCCGACACTCAGGAGGCAGGACCTTTACCCCGAATAAATGAGTCGGGCTAGTATTATCTGTTGTATTCCCTGTTATTTTGTGTAATGATGTACATAACACTTATGAAATTAATATAATAAATCTTTTTTGAATGACTCCGTGTGTGCTTTGAAGTTAATTTGGTGGTTGGACTGTTGTTGGGCTGTTTCGAGTTTTCTGCAGTGCTTAAAGTTGACGGAACTCCCAGAATATGGTGGTGGTACGTGGTGGGGAGTGGCGGAGTTGGTGGTCGACGGTGGTGGGGTAGGGCTGTGGAGCTGGCTGTTGTGGTGGCTGTTGGAGGACTGCAGCATGCAAGCTGTTTGCTGAAGCTTGTTTTCTGCCTGGATGCTGGTTGCTGTTTCCAGCAGAAAAGCGCTGTCTGAGACAGCGCTTTATGTTGAACATATAAAATAGTTGTAGTTGAATTTTTTTTTAAAAAAAAAACCAGGGGTAAAACGCTGTCCGAGACAGCGATTTACCCTGGAAGCTTAGTTTGGTAAATAGTTTTGCCACGCAACCATTTTTGTCATTAGTTTACGTTTAGAGCTCAAATTGGAAAAACGTTCTGATATGGTTGATCTCATGAATTCATGTTGCAGACAAACATTTTTGATTGATTAGGACCTGGAATTTTGAACCGGTACCTCCTATTAGGCCCCGAAAATTCGAACCGGTACCCTCTATTAGTCCCCGCAAATTTGAACCAGTACCCTATTTTAGGCCCTGGAAATTTGAACCGGTACCCCCTATTAGGCCTCGGAAATTCGAACCGGTACCACCTATTAGGCCTCGGAAATTCGTGTTAAACCCCGTAAATGTCTCGTATAAGTTGGAAATTTTAGTTGTGCGACTATTCATCTAGTAATAAGATTTTGCGAGAAAAAAACTAGCACAACATATATATACGTAGTACCTTAAAAAGTTCGTCGTAATGCAATTGATCATTGCCCTTGAATCCGTACAAAATTAAATATCAAACATGATAAAAAGTTAGATATGCCATAATTTGTTTGCAAATTAGATGGTCGAGAATCGAGATGATTATATAGTTAAGAGTGGAAAGAGTTTAAATTAAAGCAAGGGTAAAATTGGAATATAATTTTTAAAAGAAATTATCTTATTCTGTATTTAGGCAAAATGTTACCTGCTTTTAGTACTTTCCTATCTAATATATATTAATAATTAAATGATGAATAATTAAATGGAAAATATATTAATAGAAATTGTATTGAAATATGAATCATAGTATCTTTCAAATTGCATAAAAATTCAAAGGTTAAGACTTTTGAGTCTTGAACCCATACCCTGCCAAATTAAATGTAGGTTACTTGACCACCAAACCACAGGAGGAAACACAAATATTAATGCATGCACCTTCCCTCACCTGGGCCTTGGGCAGGTGCCCCGGTTGCCCTGGCTCTCAGCTACAGTCCTGCCTAGAATAATGCCCGTGCTATTCAATAGTTGGTATTTTAAAAAGAAGTTCAAAGAACACACTTCTCAACTTCTCTCACCTGTACAACCCTCACACTACATGATTGTTCATCCCTTCCAATTCCAATTTTGATACTCCAATAGCACAGTACAACTAAAACAACACGCAGACCGTGAATTGTATCATCAAAATTGGCGCCTTTCTATTTCATTTCAAATAGTCGACAGCAAACACCCAAATTTGCAATTCCAAAAACACACAGAACCCTAGCATATCAAACGAATTGAATTTTCTTCAGTAGAGCAAAAATGATACTGAGAACACCACCACCAAGGAAACGGAGGGCCGAATCCAATCCTCCTGAGGAAGGTTCTCCCGCCGGCCGCCTTGTCATCTACGAGGATCCTCCTTCGCCGCAACCTGAATCTTCTCCTCTTCCTTCCGATCATTTGCTTTGCACCTATCAATGCCGTCAAATGGTATTCTTTTTGTATATAAATTTGTTTGTTTTGTCAAATTATATGGTCATTATGGTGTTTTTATAATTTTATAATTGAAGCAATTTGGTATATATTACTCCTATATACCAACAATTGCATAAAAAAATCAAATGCAATAATGATTTTCATGGCTATTGCCAATTCATAATTTCCTAGTGAGTAGCGTGTTTACCAACTTTAAGGTTACGAAATGTTCATCATCACCTAAGCTTATTTGAATTAACGCTCCTTGGTCCGGATTTAATAGTCACATGCGAAGGATATAGTTTTAGTTTGTAGGGAAATTTTTTTACATTCCGTAGAATATGAACAGATTTTTCGTACATAACCCTTATCTAAGTAGGAAAGAGATGGAATGAGACAATTAGTGTGATGTATTTTAGTGAGTTTATGGTGAAAGCGGAAGGTTGCAATGTGACTGATTGGCTACAAGTTCCAGAAGGTGGAAGTAGTATTAGAAGTCACTTTTCGGTTGCATTGTTGTTTGTCTTGGTCTTTTGTAGTTTGTAAAAGTAACTGTTGATCTGGTTTTACAAATTGATCCTGTACTTATAATAGTCTTGTATTGTCTTGCAGGTTAAAGCGGAGCTTTTGGATAATTATGCTAGCATGGAAAAAACAATTGATGAAAATCAGTCCAAATTAGTGACATTGAATGAGAACCTCTTGACAGCAGGTAGTTTATGAGAAATTTATTTGAGCAACATCTTCTATGTATTGAGCACTTTTATATGCTGTATAAAAGTCAAGCTTCACATTAATTTCTTTTTGGCCTTCGAGTCAAAATATTCCTTAAGTCAAGGAGTGGCTGTTTCTTTAGATCCCTTCACCCTTTTTTTTTTTTTTTTTTTTTTTTTTGTAAAATACTTCATCTATTTAGTATGCTTTCGGGTTCCTGAGTATGGAATTATTGTTAGCAATAAAGATGGAATTGACTAAAAGAACATTTTGTGATTCTGTCTGCTCATATCATTTCAGAAGAAGAAGGGAAGAAATATCGAGATCAATTTCTGTATGCCGAGCAGGAGCTTGCTGCTGCTAGAGGCCGTGAGCAGTCACTGCAGGATAAGCTCTTGAAGGAGATCAAGGAATCTCAGGAGCGACTGACGAAACAAATACAACAATGCAATGAACTTGAGGCGAGTACTGACTAAAGATTTAGGGGTTGTGATCTAATATGTTAGTGTTTTTGTAATTTAGTTTTTACTTGCTTGAGATGATTTAATCTGTAATAGAAAGAAATAAAGAAGACAAAGTTTGCTTTCTTCAAAAAAAAAAAAAAATAAAGAAGACAAAGTTTGCTCCAACGAGATATAAAACTTACCTTAATACTGTTAACCTTTTAGCTCTTTTTTGGTTTATGGGATTGCATTTCAGGTCAAGCTCCAAAAGGAAGAAAGCATGCGCAGAAGTTCAGAATCTTCAGCAGCTGCTGCTGAAGAGAAAGCTAACCGTTTAGAGCGGAAACTAAACCAACTTTCAGACAGCACAGAAAGAGAAAGAAAGAATCTACAAGACGAACTCAAGCATTTGAAAGGAGATTCAAAGCTTTCTATGTCTAGGTTAAGGGCTGAAGTGAGTAGAAATGATGGATTTAATTACATTGTCCTTTTCAAAAATCTATCGTATATATATGTCATGTTTCCTCCTAATCTCTTTTGATCATTTTTTGAAGCTTGAAAGAGTGCAATGCCAATCTAGTAATGCTGTAAAGGAGTCAGAGCAATTAAAGAAGAAGCTGGAAGAAGTTATCAAACAGCTCAATAAGGTTGGAAAAATTCTTTATATTTTTTACTTCATCGTAGGTGTCATTCTAGCTCAAAGGGGCTTACTGCACAATTTTTTTTTTCTTTTTTATTTTAAAATTTCTGGGTTGCCATTTTTGGTTCATATTGCAGTACCTGATTCAAAGAATCAGAGAGGAATAATTGGATTTTTTGTGATTTAGTATCTTCTTTGGCTTCTTTGTGGGATCAGGTGGAGTTTTTAGCCTCTCTTTAGGCACACCTAATGGGGTTATCTATGTCATGTCCTTTTTGATGCATTGTGAGATTGGAATTCTTTTTTCAATATCTATGTCATGTCCTTTTTGATGCATTGTGAGATTGGAATTCTTTTTTCTTTTTTCATTGTGTGTGTGTGTGTGTGATGGCCTTGTTTTTCTTTTCTTTCAACGTTATTTTTTTAATTTTCTATGTGTTAGACATGTATTTTTAAAACTCCTTTTCTCTTCTTTTCTCTTTGTTTATAGTATGATGTGTAATCTGCAGTGTTTGCAAGAAAAGAATGAGCTGGAAACAAAAATATCAAGCTTTACATGCCCAGAGGAGGGTTCTGAATCTTCTCAGAATGATGTCTTACTGAAGCACTTGCAGGAGGAGCTAAGAAATTATGTATGTGTAGTGTATTTTAAAGTCATTTTCTTGTGCATTTTGCTTTTATGGCATGTATAGGATTTCAAAAGTCGAGGATTTCATCTCATCAAAAGAATTAGGGGTAGATTGGGAGGAAGGGGCAGGGCTGGGGCTGCAGGGTAGCTTGGTAAATCTGCAGCTTTAGTTTTACCTGTAAGACGTGGCTCAGGCTTTTTCCCTTAAATACATCAAAATTGTTTAGGAATTCAAAGGGTTTTAAAGTTTTAGCGTTTTAGGCCTTTTGTCAATAATGCTGTAGTTAAATGGTGAATCATTTACCTTAACTGGTAAGCTTGGGCAGATGAACTCGTAAGATGTTTTAGAGGTCGTTTTGGTTCGTTAAACTGGAATGGTTTGGTATGGAATCTCATACTAGGTAGGTATGGATTTAAACTCCATACTAGTTTAAAGTTGTTTGGTTTATGTTTTAGAATGATTTATATTTTAGAAATGGATTGTAAATCTTAGAGCCTAACCAAACAATAAAATAGATGGAATGGACTCTATCTCCATTCCAATCCATTCCAAAAGTACCAACTAAATGTGAAACGACCCCTTAGTTGTTGCTTCTTTTGTTGCGACTGATTTGGGGTTGATGGGTGTCACAGCTATTAGACTTGTCAGTGATTAAGGACATATTGGGAAAGGAGAAAGATGGATTAACAATAGCCAATTGGTATTTCTGATGGATTATATTTTAGTGTTTCTCGTGATGATTAATCGAGTGGAGTTCTGTGTTGACATGAGCAATAAGGTAGAATATGGTTTCTCGTAATTGTGAATGTTTTTATGAGGGCTTTGAGTTTTTTTTTTTTTTTTTTTCTTTTCTAAATATACAAGGAAAATAATTTGTCGAAGGAGATCAGGGCTAGTATTAGTTAGTTGTGTAGTTTTTACCTCAGTTCCATTATCCAACCAGTTATATTAGCACTGATGTATGTTCTAAAGATCACATCGACCACCTGTACTGGTGTTTGGTTGCTACACCTCTGGACCTGCAGGCTCAGCATGACCATGTCTACTTGCAGCGTTTGTTTGTCCTCCATCTTGAAAGTGCCATGCAGCTTTATCTTTTTGAAGCCCTTCTTTGCTGCTCCTAGGTTAAATTCTAATTTTCTCCTCTTTTTCTGTTCCTATAGCAACCTAGATGGCAGAGAAAAGGTGTCTATGAGTGGTGGATCCAATCTTTTGTTTGCCCTTTTGTAGCCTAATTTTTGTAAGAGCAGAGGAGACTTCCATTTTTTTTTTAACTCTTCTTCATGTATTGTGCTATTATTACGAGTGTTGATAGAATTGAGCAGCAGAATTTACTGTTGGTGGCAGCTTATGCGCTAAGTTGCTCGGACCCTGGTACTCAAATCTGGCATGTACACATGTCTAAGTGTCCGACAAAGTAATTTTATGAATTTTTTTTCAGGATTTTGGTGAGTTAGAATACGACACATACTTTTAGTAAAATGAAGTCCGAATAACATAGCTTATGAGGGTAAATGGGTAATTAATTGAAGAAAACAACAACAACAAAGCCTTAGTCCCAAAATGATTTGGGTAACATGAATCGTCATAAGTTACCGTCAATTAATTGAAGAAAAATGATTAAAAAAATAAATCTCATTAGGAGTCTTGCAGTAACCCTTTTTGCGTGAGATTAGTGTTTTTTTTATTTTTTTTATTTTCTTATAATTTATTTTAAAAATACTTCTCTATGGACAGTTGGGCGCTTGTTCACTGGTCTTTCCTGAAATTGCTTACTCAATTGAAGTGAGGCTGGTAAAGTGTTTCATTGTATTTTTGGTCCCTGGAGGATTGATGGTACACTGTCTCAGTAATTTCAATTTTCTTTTTTTTTTTTTGAAAAAAAAAAAAAATCATTTGTGAATCTAAGACAAGAAGTGGTGCTTTGGATATGTGTGTTTATAAGGCTGGTATATTGTTTCTTTCTTGTAGCTCTTATTAGTTTCTAGTTCTTAAGGAGTATATTGTTTTGGATTGACTGTATAAAGTTGAGGCTTCAAGCATTGGTCTCAGTGCTTTTTTGTTGTCAGCTTTTTTCTGCTTGCTATCTGTTGTTAACTCGACATGTTTGGTATTGATTCTCACTAGAACTCTTTATTCTTGGTTCTGTATATTTATAGGAGTATGAAGTGCTTGAGGCAAGGAAGTTGAAAGCATCTCATGAGAACATCGAGCTGGTGAAGGAGAAGCTCATAGAAGAAAGAAGGCGGAGGGAAAGGGCAGAGGCAGAGCTAACTAAGTTACAAGAGATTCAGTTAAGTATGAATGTACTGGAGGATGAATTAGCTTCTTGGAAGAAAATCTTGAAAGAAATTCCTGGAGTTGAATCTTCCGATGATGTCCCCCTGAAGTTTGTTGCTCTACAGAAGTATGTGCTTAAACTTGCAGCACAATTTGGTTTCTATCTGCTTGTTGAATACATAATTTATGGAAATATGGAGTTAAAACCCTTGGCATTCTAGATTGTCAAGTACATATGTTTGCTGGTAGCAAACAAAGGCCTTTCTCGCTAAGTTCTCAATAGTTCAGTGGTCACATGTGAAAGAAAACTACATTAAATATATTATTGTATGCTTGGAAAATAAGAAACTTGATAGAAATTACTACCTCAATTCCTTAATGTTCTTTACACTTTAATTCTTGACACAATTCACAAATTACACTTTGACTAGTTTGAGTAATTTATGCCTAAGGAATTTAAGGAAGAATGTATTCATGTGTGGTCTTGTGAGATTTGTCTTATTGTGCACTTTCGGGACCAATTTTTTTCATATTTATTTAGAGATATTAATTGTTAAAGATTTGCATTGGTAGTGTCAAAAGGTAAAGTGTTAAGAACATTTATGAAAAGAGGTAATACTTCCTTGTAGAATACGAAGTATTAAAGCGTTGCACAGTTGTTATCATGATAATCCACTATACCATATGGAGTATGGACGTGTATAAATTGGACATAAATCTAGTATCCATATAATCATGAGGAAAAAATTTGTGTCCTATAACTTCCATTATGTAGTTGCCCATAAACTCTATTAATAAGTTCGTTTAAATTCCTTTTTCATATGCTTGCAAGATCTTTTTTATGTAGTACATCTAAGCTTTTGAATGGCGAAACATATGAGGGATACCATGTTATTTTATGTAATTCATATTAGAATCTCAATATGTTATAAATTGGTAACATAAATGGCAAATTGATCCGATTGAAAAATATTGACAGAAAGTGACCTAATGTGACCCAATCCCATCGCAAAAGTGGGAGACTGATCCAACCCAAAATTGGCTTGGACATTAATAACTCGGACTAAAGATATCCCCAATTGACTAAAAATGAAGTATATTACTAATTTAATATTCTTAATATAACAATCTATTAACTTAAAATCTTTTTCAATTGTGGCATTTGCATTGACTCGTCCGACATATAAGAACTTTTTGAACTGATAATTAAAGCTTTAGAAGTTATTTTAGCAATGAATTGAACTTAGTAGAATATATTAGAACTAATTTGAATATATTGAAACTTAGTAGAATATATTGGAACTCATCAAAATTTAGTTTGAACTTATTTTGTTTGAATTAAGTTAAAGTAGTTTACCGCATGTGTTCCAGATTAACTTACAAGACCAAACTAGTTACCAACATACTAAGTTGACCATTAATATATGCTCCCTTAGACTAGACTTGTTTGCCTATGCACAATTTTGACTATTGATATATTTATTAAAAAAAAAAAATTACTTGATTGGAAGGAGTTAGGAAGGATATGAAGCATATGGATTAGCATGAGAATGAGGTATTTGATCGTAAGGGATGGAGGAGGAAGATTTTTGTGGATGACTATATAGAATAATTACTTTTAGTTCATGTAGCCGACCCCACTTATGGGATTAAGGTTTTGTTTGATTGATTGATTGATACTCCTTTCGTCCTCAATTATGGTCTAGTATACTATTTTTCTTAGGTCTTAACAAAATTTATTCCTGATAATTTCTCTCATCTAATGCATCCTATTCCTACCCAACTTTTGTAGGTCTCTCTACTAATTATCTCACTATCACTCACTTTCTTCATATCTCATTTGATATGGGGCCTCCACTAAACCCTATCTATCCTGATCATATTTTCTTATTCTTACTTTTCCACTATCTACCAAAAAAGCTACTCTACTCTACTATTTATTCTTAATATATTATGAAAGTGTACATTAAGAAAAACCTAACATCTTACGTACTAATCTTTGATTATATATAACCCCTTGACACCTTTCCTTCCGCTTATTCTTCTCAAACATTAAGTCTAAGGTTCATGGTTACCCTAGTTTTTGTTTTTATGTTGTTCTATAAAGTTGAGAAAGAAGACTTACTTTCATGGACAAAATGTGATGTGCAATGTTTATGAAGGAGAAAAAGTGTCTCTCATTTGCTTCTGTTGTGATGCCAGAGATTAATACTTTGTGTTTTTCTAAACAATGTAAAAGATTATATAAATAATATTTGACAGGTACTGCTGTCATTTTATAATATACTTTTGTTTTGTCTACTTATCTATCAAGATATAGTGTTGCTCATCTTGTAAAGAGGTTTTGATGAACACACCTGGATATGTGATGTGTACGTATGGAATCATATCAAGGCCGTTTAGTTACTTGAAGGTCTTTGTATAAAAGATTCTCAGATTAGTGTTTTGTGAATATTTGTTCTGTCACATGTGCTATTGAAATCATGCAGCTGCCTTTGTTAATCCGTTATGGACCATTATGTTCCTGCTATACTCTGTGTTTAAAACTCTTGCTTGAATTGATGCTATTGATTTTAAGTATAGCTAGTGTTTACATTCATTTTTTAGGCACTGTAAATGTGGGGTACCTTTTTATTTTTTCTTCCAGTGTGATTTACATAGCATTATAAGGTTTCATGAAAAGTATGCTCTTAACATCTAATAAGTATGTTTCCAACACTCATTTGGTCAATAAGGTGAATTTCTTCAATTTGTAAATTCATGCCACAATTGCAGTAAAGCTGGCTGTAACACCTTTGAGATGCTGCTTCTATGACACTGACCATTACTGGGATCCTTTCGACAGTCGTGATATTTTATAAACATGAGCACAAGTTTAGATGAAGCTGGACATTGGGATGTGCCTCTTATTTATCTGCCTTATTTATGTGATTTGTCCATTTGTGCTAATAAGCGTGCTACAGTATGTCTTGATTTTATGCTGAGTGCTTATTTGGTAATACAGGGAGGTGATAGATGGCATGGCAAAGCTAGGAGAGGCAAACACACGCTTGAAACAACTTGAAGTAGCTCTGGAGGGTGCTGAGCTTGATAAGAAAAATGTTGAATCAGAAACAGCATTAGCTAAGGAGAAGGAGGAATCGTTGAAGTTAGAAATTAAGGAACTCAAATCGAAAGTATGTGTTACTGTAACTCTTTCCTTTAATTTGCTTTCAAGGACTTAAATCCTTTAATCAGATTGTCTGTTACTTTGTTGCTCAATTGACTGCACTGTGCTTTTCAGTATTCTGGTATTCTAACTTTTGTTTTTCCAAATTTCAATGAATCTTTTAGTTTTTCAGTTGATTGATTGTAGGTTAATTGGTCTACTGATGTAGAGTTACAGGTGGTACTTTTGTAAGAGGTTATTTTGAGCAAGAAGAGTATGAGTTTTAGAGTTCTAGACTACGTTTTGAATCTGGGAGACATTTAACCTCTGCTTATACTGTTGCAACTTGTGCTTTATGCAGTTTCTCTTATGTGTTCTTATGTCAAAAAGTAAAGGAAATAAAAGAAGTCTGATATACTTATAATTGGAACTCAGTCTAATAGTTACTCCAGAATCTAGATAGTAAATTAATGAATTAGAGCTTACCAAACCATGACTCTGAGCTTAAAGCTGTTAAACCTGACAGATAAAATTAAATTTGTTTGTATGCATCTTTATTCTTGGTCTGTTAATGCTATATTTGTAAAAGTGAAGTGTATCTTAAGTAGCTATTTTATGACAGTAGAATCTTCTTGAAAATTTCTTAGAACAGGTAATGAATTAATGCTGTATCTAATTGTAAATATGATGAGGAAACAAATAGGTCTATGCTTAGTATAGCCTAAATGTTGCAGCCCACCATCTTGTCACTACAAGAGCTGAGATTCATATGTTAAATTCTAGGAATTATGTTCTGCACTAATGTGCAGCACTAAAAGTTACAATAAGATATAAGGCTGAACAGAATCACTGTGAATAAAGGTGCTACAATGAATGGAACTACATTTTGTGATCAGGGAAATAATATGTTTTTACAAAGATTTTATAAAGTAGAAGATTAATCCTCAAATTCTTTACGAATCACTTTAATTGCTTTGAACCTTGAAAATTGAGTGAAACTTGAAAACCTTTGTCACCTGAGCCCAAAAGGAATCTATATAAGTTACCATGTCCTACAGAAAAGGTGGATTCTAAAATGATGCTCAAGTTTGGTTCTAACCACTTACATGGTTGTGCCATTGAATTGATATAAAGCATTGTGGCATAGCACTTTCCTCTCCCTAGCCAGTCCCAGACTTTACAAGTTGCATTTGCAACAGATCTGCTATAATAGAGGGGCAAACTGAAGATTCCACAATTTCTATGCACATGGCAGTCAACTGTGAAAGAAGACTTGCGTACAACTATCACTATTGGGCTCTTCAATTCAACTTAAATTATGTCTAACCATATGACATGCTGATAATGTATAAGTTTTAGCACTAGGGAATCCTATTTAGTCTCATAAAAGGCCTGCTGTTAATTAGATTGAGATGTTGGTGTCTGAGTTTTTACCTGGAAAAGATTTTGGTGTCTGATTGAGGTTTGCATTTTCTATTTGTTGAACTTTAAATACTTTTCACTGGTTTCCTTTCCGTCTTGTTTACCCTATTTAGCACTCATCCTTTGTTCTATTTTTCATTTAAAAAATGCAGCTATTGTCAGTTAATGAAGATGGAGATCAATTAAGAACTGCTTATAATGAATTGAAACAGCAGACGAATGTAGAGCCTGGTTATGAAGCTGTCGGGAGAGCCTTAACTCAGGTTTTTTCAGTTTCGTCACCAGTTTCTTTTTACTGTGCACGTGCATGGTTGTCTAATGGTTATTTATTTTATTTATTTTCTGAATTCAGGGGCTTGAATCATCTCTTGCCCAAAAAGACACTTACATCAAAGAATTGGAGCTCAATCTTAGTGAACATAAAGCTGCCAATGATCGTCAACGTAACGAGATTAGGATGCTGAATGAGAAGCTAAACAGTGAAGCACGAAAAATAAAGTCTCTAGAGAGAGAGAGTGACCGACTTCGTTCTGAGATTGCTCTCTTGGAGTCCAAAGTATGATTGCTTATTAAGAAAAAGAAAGGAATTCTTGCTTTAAATTTTTTGTATATTCTCTACTCTTGTTGAAATTTGTCTAGTTCATTTGCGTGTTCTTGGATGTGTGTGTCTTGTATTGTGATAATTACATGGAAAATCATTCATTGCTGCATTGTTGGCTGTCAATGTTCCTCTTGAATGTTTTGTTTGATGTGGTTAGGGTAAAGTGTGTGTCCAGCATCTTTTTTAGAGGCATCAACTTAGTCTGCCTGCTTTAGTATTATTATTAGTATTAGAAGTAGTATTAGTATTAATGTTAGTGTTTGTATTAATATTAGTGTTAGAGTTGGTAAAAGTATTAGTGTTAATGTTAGCAGTATTAGTGTTAGTGTTAGTATTAGTGTTAGTATTAGTAGTATTAGTGTTAGTGGTATTAGTGTTAGTGTTAGTGTTAGTGTTAGTAAAAGTATTAGTGTTAGTTTTATTGTAAGTATTAGTATTACTGTTAGTATTAGTACTAGGTAATGGAAGGATAGTAATAAAGGTTACAATTGTTGTTCATTAAAAAATATGTCTCCATGCTTATATGAAAACCTTTTGTTGTTACCAGTCTTAACATAAAGGCAAAACCATCATAATTATAATTTAACTAAAGAGAAGTTCCAAACTATTAAAGTTTAAATCAAATGTTGCAAAGTGCAATAGGATTCTCAAGCGTGGTCCATACTTTCCATAAGCAAAGTTCAAAGCTATATGTATGGGCTTAGAAAACAAAAAAAATACTAGGACTATCATTACCTGTTCAGGAAAGTTGTAGTGTGATAGAGACATGCTAGGAAGGGTACTGTCAACAGTCTACACGTAGCACATAGTTACAGGTAGTGGTTGGTTACATGTGTTAACTAGTGATGGGTGGTTATATGTTGTGGGTCTGTGGTCAGTTGTGGGTGGTTATATATCTATATTCCCTTACCTTTTTTGTTTTTAGGGTGACATGTATGCACATTATTGAGTTGTTGACTGATACTAGTGGGAAGTGAATATTGTCGGAAATTATTGTCATCAATTTTTTCTTCTTTGAAGTTGGATCCATGTGGTACACTGGTACTAGACCACAGGCCCAAGTTAAGTTTAGGGGCAGAAAAAGTGCTGTGTAGTGGCATTTAAGATATCTGGAACATCACAGACTTGTGCTGATTTTCTTGTAGTCTCCTAGGCAAGATCAATATTTAATTAAAATGCTCCTGAACAATTGTAGGTTTTTATGCAATTTATTCAATTGATCTCTCTCTCTCTCTCTCCATTTTTTTTTTTTTTTTTTGGGTGTTGTTGTGGGGGTTGGGGAGGGGGGGGGGGATGAGAGGAGGACGGAGGGTTGTTAGAGCTTACAGATGTTCTTCCCTGATCTAAGTGAGCAAGCCCACAAGTTGATTGTGGCTTTCTTTTGTCATTGACATTTTCTTGTAATTATGTGTATGCATATATGTTAAGGCTAGTTGGGGAAGAGCTTTGACTTGGTAAAGGACAGGTGCAGGTATGTGCAATCTACGACAGAGGAAGAAATCATGATGTTAATATGCTACCTGCTATTTAGTGCCTCATTTTTTTTCTTTTCTTTTCTTGATATAGCGCTATTGATTCATTTGTTTTCTTCTCGGCAGTTAGGACATGGTGATTTTTCGTCTGCTAATACAAAAGTCCTGCGAATGGTGAATGCTCTGGGGGTTGAGAGTGAGGCTAGACAAACTATAGAAGCCTTACAATGTGAACTTCAGAAGGCTAATGAGAAACTTCAGGTTGTCGAAGAATTAAAGAAACAATCAGGTCCAAACTATATTTACTTAACTTTATTGCATTTTAGTCTTCCAATTATTCACATAGTTCCTGAAATTAATTTTTTTTTTTCCTTTGGCTGTCATTTCAAATATTCTCTTTTGTATGTAGCTAAGCTGCCAAAGGATATGAATAACTCAACTTTGGTAGCATTTGAAGCTTTCTATTTTTCAACGATGATTTTCTTGTGAATAGTATGTGGGTCAAACAAGTATGCACCGTCTGTGTTTAGAGAAAGGATCTATTTAATATTGAGGAAACCTTGTTAACTATGTTACTCGGCTCTTCATTTCACTTTTAAGTACCCATTTCGTATTTTGACACTTGGACATGGGTAGGACACTTGGATTGTTTTTATTTGACCAAGATCGTTAAAGTTTTTCACAAAAGTTGAGTAAGATGCTTGGATATGTATACGTGTCAGGTAAGTTTACCTGAGTCAGAGCAACTTATTGGAAGTTTCCCTTCAGGTCTCCCTTTCCATGGTATATCACCATGTCAGTCACCAAGATAATAAAACCCTTTCCATGGTGTATTATCTTGTCATTCAACCATACAATAACATTTTATAGGTTTCAAATTCAAATAATTTAGACTTTGGAAGAATGTATAATTGCCCTATCATTTGTTGATTCAGCTTTAGAAATAAATGTAGCATACATGCCACTACTCTGTCTCTAAAGAGGCTCTTGACACTTGGGGTGTATGGGGTGAGGGTTAGACGCATGCAGTCTGCAAGAAGACCTTTTGAAGCTGTACACAAAACTGCAAAGTCTTTTTCAACCTTATCTCTACAAAAGGAAAGAGTATTGATATTAGACTTTTGACTCCCTGATTGTACTGCACAGATTAAAGCTAAAGAATTGATAGTTGAGATAGTTGATTTAGTAAGTTGTAATCGGAACCAAAGTGTGATTTGGTGAGATAGTTGACTTACTCATTGTACTCTGAAGTTGAAAAACTCAAGTGTTTACTCAATGACTTAAGCTTTGCTCTTTTCAATTTATTTTTGCTGTAACAAACAATTTATATTTGCTGAACTTATGTTTCTCAATCACAATGAACTTGACTTATTTTTGTTAAACCTTAGTGCAAAGCATGACCTGCACCCAAATTCTAGTGCCTGCTAAATGAGTTATGTAGATAAGGTTTTGTTCCTAGCTTGTCTACTGGAGTTTAAGAGAAACTAATATACTTCTTCTTTTTTAGTTGAAGTTGACCCATTTCCTTTAAGGTAACTTTTATTATATAATATTCCTATTTAACCTGACTTAAATAACATAAAATTAATTAAAAACTCCACATTTACTCCCTCTATGTTTATGACCCACCCACCCCTCCCACTCCAAATCCCACTTCTGACTCTTCCACTCCACCAGGGCTCAGTCACCATTCCCACGTTCTTCATGTTTTTCAATTACAACCTCCATCTCCACCCCCTCTCGTTTTTACTGGCATTACCACCACCACCACCACCTCCACCTTTACCCTCTTTTTTTTTTTTTTTTTTTTTTTTTTTTTTTTTTTTTTTTTTTGGGAACAAAATCAATTCATTAATAAAAAGCCATCCTTTACCCTCTTACAACTTATTTAGGGAACAAAGGAAGTATTAAACACTATGTTTCAGTATCGTTTGGTGAACTATGTGTCCTCTCGTTTTGTTTATCGCTCGTTGCTTCATTCTGTCTGCTATATGGGTAATGATAATGAAAAATAAGTTTCTGCCAAGATTCATTAGGGAATAAAAAAATGTTTTTTATGCTCTAGAGTCTGAACTTATGCTTCCAGGGACCAGGGTCTTACCTTGAATGTTTCTGTCAAATGTAAAAAAGGATTGGGCATCTCTCTTTAATATTCTGTTTACATGGATTTTTGATCTTCTTCCTCCATAAAGATGTTGATTCTCATATCTGGTAAACATTCAACCGCTAGCAACTAGTAAACCATGAAAACTACTTAGCTTTTTGTATGTTAATTACAGAACTTGCAACAAATTATTAAATGGCTCATTGAGTCGCCAACGAAAAAAAAAAAAAAAAAAAAAGAAAAAAACGGCTGAATTTATAAGTTTTGACTGTAATTTTTTAATTGTCTGGTCCATCCTCAAGAGGAAATTAAATAGTATCCTTTAAACTAGAAACAGTTACAGGTTGACTTCCCCAACCAAGGCTATGTTTCAATAAAAGTAATTCTTTTTTTCTTTGTTTGTTTCTTTTTCCACCACATTTTTAAGGCAGGCATGCTGAATTTTTTTATTTTTAGTTTGTTTTGCATTGGTTTTTTTTTAAGAGGGTACTTTGCTCTTTATGGTGCAGCTTCTTGCTTTTTCCTAAGAAAATGGATCTTTGTTGATGGTGGAGCTGTCTTCAGGAATTAACATTGTTTTTTTCTGTTAAAAAAATTTAATAGCTGATGCGGGGCAGTTAGTGGATTCATATATTTCTGGTAAAATAGTGCAGTTGAAAGAGCAAATATCAACACTTGAGAAGCGTGAGGAAAGGTCAGGAGTAGTAGCCGATTTGCTAAACTGTAGTCTCCAAATTTCTACATAAACTTACATTTAAATTATGATGGGCCAGGTACAAGACTGTGTTTGCTGATAGAATCTCAGTTTTTAGGAGGGCATGCTGTGAACTTTTTGGTTATAAGGTATATTGCAATTAAAAGAAACCCTTGTTCTTTTCTCAAGATTAATGCCTACTTTTGTTTTGTATTTGTTTTAAAAAAATGCTTATGCATGCATAGTAATTTGGCATCTGAAATGGGAATTGTTAAATATGTTAGAAAGATTACACATCATAAAGGTAATTCTAAAATAACCTTGAAGGCATCAGTGAATAAAATAGGCTTAAAATGTTTTCGAGGAAAACTGTCCTATTGTGAAACAAAAGATATGGATTTCGAGTACATATTGTATCCACATATTTCTTTGATTTTATTATGCTTTTGAGTCCCTTAGAAGACAAATTATGGCCAATGTTGTGGTTTTTTTTTTTTTTATTCTATTTTTTATAAAAATATTTTTAAAGGATATAGGAAATACATTGACAAGGTGAAGAAACTCTGAAACATATCTATAACTTACCAACTATGTTACTTAAACTTGATTACTTGTGTCGGAGTACATGTCCATGTGTTTAAGTCTCTAGAGTCTCAAGGATCCAAAATTGGTTTTTGAGGTGAATTGAAAAATCCAAGTAGCATATCTTAGTAGGAATTAGATACATATCTTGATTTTAAAATTGTTAAAAACTGAATTTCGTTTTATTTTACGATTTTATAAAATTTTCTGGCTTAGTGTCCAACTCCGAGGTCAAGAATGTCAGTCTCTTTAGCTGCCAAGTTGTCAAATTTTAGTGACAATATCGTTTAGTTAGCTTATATAATCATCTATAAAAAAAATTACTCTCTTTGTTCCTAATTGATTATCCTATTTAGAATCTGCACATTTCCCTATGCAATATTGTAATTAACAAATTTTAAGTTACGCGTTGCAAAAAAAATGTAAATATTATGTATGTGGAAACTAAAAGTCATCTCTTATGATTATGTTTTGAAGTGCATCCTTTGTTACCCTAATATTGCAACAAGGGGGAAGACACGTGATTTAAGATCAGGAGAGAGAGAGAGAGAGAGAGAGAGAGAGAGAGAGAGAGAGATGGACCCATGTGTTGAGGAGAGAGATAGAGAGAAAACATGTGCATATATGGTTATGTTGCAATGTCTGTGAAACTTCTTAAAATGGTAATTGTTGCAATATTAGTGGAACGGAGAAAATATATGTTTATCCTTTAAATATTAGATTTCATTTGCGTTGGAATCTCCACTGATTCCAAATTAGACCCTCAATTAGGAACGGAGGGAGTACATATAATCGTCTTTCTTTGACTCAAAATCAATTTCTTCTTTCCTTTGTAACATAGTATCATCCGCATATTGATCACACTACAATTTTTTACGTAGTTGTAGAAAGTGAAATATTTGAGATTCTGAAATGCAAGATGACTTGGAGAAAATTTACTCACCTAGAATTTTCTTGTATTTTTATTATGATAAACAAGTAAATCTGTTGTGATAATTTTTCCTACAAATGAAATTTCAAAAATCTTCTTAGGTCTAATTCCTATGGAGTACAACATTGGTTGCTCCTGCAAACAACAATTTGGGGTAAATCTGTCGCATTAGTAGAAGATGTGTATTATTGTATATCAACATGCAAGTGCCGTATCAAAGAATCTATGATTGCTAAGTAAATAATTGATGTGATCAAATGAATTGAAACTGCTAGGAGTGCAAAAGGGAGATACAAAAAAGCATTCATAGGTTCTGAGCTGAGATTCATTTCATATGCAATTTTGTTCAGATTTAATTTATTAAGTGTGAACATGTATTGAGTCTCATTTGCATCTACTCATACATGATTTGACAGATTGTTATGGATGATCAACATCGTTCAAATGGGATTCCTATAACGCGTTTCACGCTTCAATCTATCTATGCGCAAAGTGATGATGAGAAGCTAGAATTCGAATATGAGTCGGGTAACACAAACATTTTGGTAAGGCAAATTATACTATGATCTTGTAATACGGTTTTCTAGAATTAGGATTTTTTTTGAAACTTTTCATGCAGCCATTGGCTTGCTGCAGGATCTGCAGTATTATGCCAGGCATTGTTTATCATATAGCGTGCCTCATAAATTCTTGGTTGATGGATTTCTTGGTCTAAACTCAATAAATAGGGTAACTTGACATTATACTTTTATTCACCTTTTATGCCTTTTCTGCCCGCCATATGCAATCCTTTTATTAGTTTGATTAGTGAAAGCATTTCCAAAATGACAGGACAACATTATAGCTAAATTATATTTGTATTTTTTTATTTGATGAAGAAAATTGTATGTGTAACAAACAATGAAACAGCCGAAAGTACAAGAATAGAGGGCAAGTCTTTATAACAACCAAAGAAAACAGGTTTTAAATAACCCCAATTTGTTAAATTTCCCCATTGAATAATTACTAGAAGCCACCACTGCTCAGTGTTAAGCCCACAAAGGAGCATAATAAACTATTCATTATCACAGAAAATTACTAGTTTAAGCAGTTCCCTAGAAGATTTGTGCATTCTGTACTAACCACAGATGTCACACAATAGCCTCCAAAACTATTACAATGTTACACCACAGCTTCTCCTTCCAAAGTTCACCGAAGGAACGTAGCTGATCCAAAACAGACAGGAAAACTTGATGCTTCTCGTACTTATTATATAGCCTACTCCAACTATCAATTCCCATTTCACGATGAAGAAAGAGATGCGATCAAGACTCGCTCTTGGCAGGACCAAACATATCTTGCAAAAAACTGATCTTTGATCTTCTTCTTTGGAGCTTATCATTATCATTGATTCTACCCTGCCAAACACACAAAAGCTCTCACCTTAAAAGCAACTCCAGCCTTCCAGATAAATATATGGACTAGGAAGAGGGGGTTTATACCTTGGTGGCAAAGATGGACATCCAAAAAGAGACTTGCAAGATAAGGTGCCTGTTGAATGCCCCATTCACCTTGTACAGTACCCTGCCTTTTGTAATTGAGGTGGTAAAACCTCGAATGTCAAGGTAGTTCTTCAATCTTCCCATCTTTGGATATCTTTGGATGTCTATGTAAACAACGTTCTCAAACATTGCGATTATGGGATGCGGAAAAAAGAACATCATGTAAAGTGGACAAACAATACTATTGAGGAAAATACATCCAAAATTTAAGATAGTGGCAATTCACAATCATGAATATGAATAAAGAACAGACAATATACTTATGAAATAAATTTCCTAGGGCAAGCGCAATTCAACAACTCAGCCGAGTCCCACCTGTTTTGAAGTTATCCATTATTTCTCTGCATAACACGACCTTACAATGATCGAGGTCCAAGAGGAAAAGATCATGACCACTTTCGAACCAAAGCTTTTAATAATCTGCATATGAACCCCCAATCGTGCCTCTTTACCCGGCCAGGGGTGGCAATTTGATCAAGGGGTTGAATTCAGGTTTAGTTTTTAGTTGATTTTGGGTTGTTTTTGAGATTATTTCCTGCCAGGCCAAATTCAAAGGTCTGCAGAATTGTAATTCAGGCTTCTTCTTTGCTTTTCACCTGAAAGCCCTGATTCTGTAGTTCTGTACACCCCCTTTAAAATCCTAACATGCATATGAAAAACGATGGAGAAAAAAAGGAGCCATGGGATCCCCACACCACAATCCCCTGTATGAAGAAATCCACTACCTAGTCGAGGTGTTGGTTACCATTTCCAATACCAAAATATAAGCGTGAGACAAAGCATTGAATGTGTCTGCCAATCTCCAAAACTCTTCTTTAAAACAAAATCAAGATAGCACCAACTCACTCACCCTTCCATTTGCCTTAATGCCTTGTCAAAATCTAGCTTGATTACCTACCCCTTTACCCTTGTTAGTCGAGTTTTATCCACCACCTCATTAGCCATAAGTGCCTTATCCAAAATTTCCGTCCCTCCAAAAAAGGACTTAATGAGTGAAAATTGGTGTAAGGTAACATATCTCCTAACCAATTTATATGCACCTTTGTGGGAACTGTGACATTCTTGGTGCTTGAATCATACAGATGGGATGATAGTTGCTTAGCGGGAAAGTACCCCATTTCATCAAGAAGTCTGGAAGGCAACAGACAGGGAAGCATTGTATAAACCTCCTTAATTAAAACCTGCTCAGTCTTTCCTAAATCATTTCATAACCTTCATTTGAAAGCATCATAGATGATACTTGAATTAAGATTTTCAAACCTTTGTATCCCAGTTCTTCTTACTCTTCCAAGAGTATAACTTCAATGACGCTCACAATGTTAATATTTCCTCCGTTGAACTTGAAATTTAATGACACATACTACGAAGTAAGGTTTGTGGATCCCTATCATCCTCTGTATCCTCTAGAGGCTCTAAAGGGACACACCTTTTCTGCTCACTTGACTAAGGTGCAGGATCCTATACTGTTTCTGGACCTATCAACATGCGTTGCTGGATGATTATAAATAATGAATTATCTATGTAGCTAATGCTCTGATGAGATATGGTTGAACATGGAATTTGTACAAATACTGTAAGTCTATATGCTATGCATCAGTAATGATGGTTAGAAAAAAAGCAGTGAAGGTGGAAATAGACAGCTTCATACATTTCTGATATTGTGTATCAAGAAGTGCTTATAACAAGTGAATCTACATGAATAGTAAAGCTCTGACAGCTGTCTTTGTATGATATGTAATATTCTCCTGCATAAACACTATCTTCTACTGTTTTATTGGGAGACTTTAATCTTTCACAAACTTTGAACTACCGACTGTGTTTTTCAATTTGATGCTGTATTAATATATGATATTTGGATCTTGTAGATAAATGACTATGCAAAACAGCGTGACATATCGCGACAGGTAGATGACATTGTTTTGTGATTATAAGCTGAAGCGTATATAGGTTTTCTAGTTGTATCTTTTCCCCTGAATTGAGGAACAATTTTCTCTTTTTTTTTGTAGGTTGAGATATTTATTCGAAAGCTGAACTCAATTCCAGCTTTTACAGCCAACATAACTGTAGAATCTTTCAATAAGCGCACTCTATCCTAATGTAAGTTAATATCAAGATTTTGAATAGTGCGTTCTTTGGGTTATCCCTTTTATTACCAAATCTTGAAAGAGAGGATTGCAGTCACTGAAGGTTGCAAGGCTTTTTGATCTTAAAAGCTGGCATATCATCTTTTTGCGCTTTTGAGCTGCTAGGATACACTTCACAGCTATGTTGTGCAGTCTGCTGAGCAAATGTAGTATATACCCGTGTATCACAATTCTGAAATTTTTTACCTGTGCTGTTGTGTTGCTGCTATTAAGAAAATCTAATGTGGACTCTATGCTTGTATTGGCCAGCTATATTGATTAACCATTGCGTTGCATGGTCCAATGTTGATTCTATTCAGTAGCAATGAGAAAATTCCATTTTTAGAAAACTTCTTTTGTGACAAAAGTCAAGTTTTGTTTACTTGTATAATACTTGAGTTCTTATTTATTTTTGTTGATTTAATTTTTTTATTTGCATTTTTTTTAATTTTTTTATTTTTTTTTGGTGTGGCTAGGGGGAATGAAAGGGAGAAGCTGGGCTCTTCTGGCCTTAACAGCCGCAACATGAGCTCTAGCGACACCTGACCTATTCAAGAAAATAGTGGAGTGACTTTGACAACCATGTAATATCTCACACCAAGTTTTGTTTTTCCAATTTCATGGTCGTAGGGTGTTTTATTGCCTTAGTAGCTTTCATGCAGTTCGTTTAGATCTCCATTCCATCACTAAGGCAGATAGCCTTTCATCTTTGTTTGCAGTGCCTGTGTTGCTATGATCCTTTCTGAATGTTGTTTTGGTAGATGACCCATCGTGCACCTCCATTCCATCCTTTGGAATCTTTCCGCTCCATCCACGTCAATAATGATAGGCATTCCCAGCTATTTGTCCTCTGCCTTAAAAGCTTCAGTTGCTTTTGTTTCAAATCAATTCTTTGCCTCATGTATACTCTCCATATTCCTGTTTGGGTCACGGCTCAAAATGGTCCATAAGGTTGGGAGGAAATCTTTTGCTCCATTATAGGATCTTCATTGTCATTAACATATATCTGACAAAGATTTAATCTAGCATTTGGGTTCCTAGTGTTGATCATCTACTTTGTCCTTGATTTGAGCATGGTTAAACTCTTCAAGACACCGGACAATTGGATTGTTTGATAGATTTCTCTGATGTGACTATAAGGCTTTTATGATGTTTTAATATTTTCACCTTGTATCTAAAGTCCCATAAGAGTGACTTCATTAATTACTTTCCACCCATAGAAGAGACATTATGGGCTTTATGGAAAATTAATCTTCCAAATTTTCTCTGAAAATATATTTTTGTTCATCACTTTCATACCCTGATTTTACTAGGGCTTCTATACCCTGATTTTACAGAGTAGTTCTCATTGCTTGTAATGTTCCAAAAAAGCTAGTCATTCTCGTTATTGTTTCTAGTTTCTTCTTCCACATATCGATATTCCATTTTCAATGGCCGTTATAGTTCCTGGTTGCATCATCCTTGCAGTGTTGCATAGGCTTTCATAGAACCTTGAAAATTTACTCGATTTCCTTCCCTACTTATCGCTTGTATTTCCTTCAGAACTCTACCTAGTAAAGAAGGGAATCTGGTGAATTCTCCAATCTTGTTTGAAGATTAAAGCTCTATTTTATGCGTACATATTCCTCATTCTAATGCGAATTTCTGTTTTGAGTTTTTCCAACACCTCTTTAGTAGGGATGGCAATGGGTCAAATTCGGAGCGGATTACGCAAAATCCGACTCCGACCCTATAGGAAGCCGGAGGCTAAATTTGACTCCGAATCCGAATTCGTCCAACATCCAACTTTGAGACTCCGAATTCGATCCGACTTCAATATCCGGCCCTTGACTCTGACTTCGATCCGACCCGACTTTGAGTTTTTATTTTTTTATTTTTCCGGTTTTTAAAACATTTGTAATAAATTGACAATTTACAAATTCCACTAAAAATAGCAATAATAATAAAAAGGAAAAATTGCCTAGAATAATTTAAACTCTACCTCGTTCTCTCAAAATAATCCAACCTTCCAATTATTCTAGATTAATCCAACTCTTTACCCCCATATTCCCACATTAAACCTAAATGACTGGCTACTAGAGCAATAGGTTTTTTTTTTTTTTTTTTTTCCTTTTCCTTTTAATTTTTTGTTTTGACCACCCAACTCCAAAAACAGCACCACCTACTACAAGCACCAAAAACAACTACCACTAAAACCAAAAATGCACCAGCAAACATCTAAATCGAAACTAACCACCCACTAACACCAAAACCACACCTCACCTAAAAAAATTGTAAAAAGAATGGTGTCCTTCGAACAAGTGTATTATTCCGATAGAGGGTTCAAAATCAATTACGGAGTTAATTATTCAGTGAAGTCAAGTGATCAGAAAGTCGGGCTAGAGGCCATCTCCGATCGGTGAGAATAACTATATTAATTTCATAGCTTTCCTTTGACTAAACCCAACGAGTCACACCCAAGCGTGCAACCGAACTAAGGCGACGAATTAAGCCGAAGGCCTTAATACGTCAAACAAGAGGATATGTACTCCGACGTCGGATTCTGAGCTTAGAGCGTCGAAGCCGAACGTCGAGTCAAATTCTAGGAATAGACGAGACGTACAAATAAGTCAAACAACATAGCCCTAGCCTCGCATTGGCCTAGCCATGCGAGGGCTAGGCTAGCTTGGGCTGTTGCAAGGCAAGCACCAGCCACAAGCCTAGCATGGTACGCGCATGCACTAGCTAGGCCTGGCTGGGGCATGCCGCAAGCCAAGCATTGGCTGAGTGCATGCAGCTGGGCATGATAGCCGAGTGCTTGTCGCAGCAGCATTGCTAGCAAGGCCCAGCAACTATCGCAGCTCGCCAAGCTCGCTTGCGAGTGCTGTGCCAAGCACAAAGCAGCAGCCGGCATGCGAGCTTGCGATAGCAGCAGCAGTGCCCAACAGTGTTAGCAGCCTGCAAGCATGCAAGGCTTGTTGCGCTGCGTTGGGCCTTGCTAGCTGGCCCAACCGAGAGCACAAGGGCTGCCAGCTTGGCGCGCCTTGTTGCTCAAGGTAGGCCGACCAGTTTGCGTATGCTCATTAGTCCAATTGACCTTGGGGAGATAAGGTCCTCACCTACCCACTCCCATTGCTTGCCACTTGTTGTTTGACTATTTGTTTGTTGCTTTTAATTTATTTTAGAATTAAATTAAATGCATTTATTTCTCAACTTTGTAAAGTCTCACATTGATGAAATATCAAAGGGATGGAGATGTTTCTCCTATAATTACCCAAACTTGACTTGGGATTTTGAATTGCAAGAGTTGAACTCTATAAAAGGCATCTCCTTTGAGAAAACCTTATAAAGAGGTCCTATTGTTAGTAGTGCTGGTATTAACCTAGTTGTTAATACCATGTTTTCGGGCGCGTGGGTGGACCTCGTTGGAGGAGTCACATTTGAGGCTCTCGTAACGTTCGAGGGTTCGTGTTCGTGCTAGGTGGAAATCACACTTCAAGGGTATGAACGTCTTTTCCGTTCTCTCTCTCTCTCTCTCTCTCTCTCTCTCTCTCTCTCTCTCTCTTGTGTATGTGTTTATTTTATATGCATGTTTAGTTTGGTCGTATTAATTTGTGCATGTGGTCTTTAGGTGGGTTTTGGTTCTATGTGGTGTTCGCACACCGTAAAACCCAACAATTGTCCTCCACCTCAAACAACCCCTCACCCGATAAACAACCACCACCCTTAAAACAACCCTTCATCCACACGGCTACACGAAATCAGCCCCTACCCAATATTCACTGCCTAACCCCCAAAACAACCCCTCACTTACACAAAATCAGCCCCACCTACCCAATAATAAGGCCAAGCCATAAAACCAACCCGCGAAAAATAGTGGTTTGGGGCCTTTTCGGGGTTTGTTGTTTTTAATTTGTGGTGGTTCTTGTCGCTTGGGAGTGGTTAGATTCGTGGTGATGGTGAGGTCGTGGTGGTGGTGGTGGCGAGGTTTTGGGTTTGTGGTGTTCTTATTGGTTGGTTGACAAAGGGTGAAACTAGGGTCGTTAGACTAGCTTACCTAAGTCAACCAAATTTATAAACCGAACCTATGCCTAGTATAGGGGCAAGTCCAAGTTGATCCACGAGAAATGGGGGAGTCGATCACTATAGTTTCGTGTTAAGCTATTTCGAAGCAAAAGTATGGAAGTAGGGTGAGCTAAACTAGTCAAACAAACAAGAAATCGAGAAAGATTCAAATTCAAAGATGCTAGGGATTAGGTTCCATATATAATCATGATAGAGGTGCCAAATTGGGGGTGAATCGAAGCAATGGAGTGTTGCAAGGACTAATGGTATTTACAATCAAAGAGTTCAAAAGGCTATCTAGACTAATTGTCAAGCTAGGTTTCCACTATGAATGACAAACTAGTAGAATCACAATTCAAACAAATTGAAAATTGAAAATTGAAAATCAAGTGGTCATGTCATCAAGATCAACAATGCAATTAAGTTTAGCAATCTAGGTTAATCAATCCTATCAAATTAAACACATGCACAAATCCATTAATCAATTTAATCACAACAATCTATTGATCAAAATCCCCAAATTAACAACAATTTATCAATCATACATGCTTCCCCAGCTCCCTAGCTAAGAAATCTACTCACTAATCATTATGAATTGAAGAGACAAAACAAAGCTAATCATCATCATCATCATATTCAACTAATCAAAGAGAAAATCAAGTGATTAAGCTTGCGTCGGTATTACCTTCAACAACCAAATCTTTACTTCCACCATAGACCAGGAATTTATGCTTGTTCCTTTTCAGGTACTTTAGGATATTCTTGGCCGCAGTCCAATGCGCCTCTCTCGGGTCTGATTGGTATCGGCTCGTAGCACTCAAGACATACGATACATCCGGCCTTGTACATATCATGGCGCACATGATCGATCCTATTAGCGAAGCATATGGGATCTGATTCATTCTCTCTCGCTCATCAGGTGTCTTTGGACACTAACTCTTACTGAGAGTTACTCCATGAGACATGGGTAGATGGCCTCTCTTGGCGCCCTCTATTTGGATTCGTGCTAGTACCTTATCGATGTAAGTACTTTGGCTCAATCCAATCACCTTTTAGATCTATCCCGATAGATCTTGATGCCCAATATGTACTGTGCCTATCCCAAGACTTTCATTAAGAAACACTTTCCAAGCCAAGTCTTTACAGACTCCAGCATTGGAATGCTGTTCCCAATGAGCAATATGTCATCGACATATAATACCAAGAATGCAATGTCACTCCCACTGACCTTCTTATATACACAAGACTCATTTGGATTCTTGATGAAGCCAAATTTGCTGATTGCTTCATCAAATCGGAGGTTCCAACTTTGCTAGCTTGCTTTAATCTATAAATGGATTTCTTAAGCTTACAAACCTTCCTAGCATTATTTGGATCTACAAAACCTTTGAGCTGTATCATGTACACAGTTTCTTCCAAAATCCCATTAAGGAAGGCGGTTTTGACATCCATTTGCCATATTTCGTAATCGTAATATGCAGCAATTGCTAGGATAATTCGGACGGACTTAAGCATTGCGACTGATGAAAAGGTTTCATCATAATCAACGTCGTGAATTTTCCTGTAGCCTTTTGCTTTGAATATATATAAACAACTCCATTTTTGTCGGTTTTCAACTTGAAAATCCATTTGCAACCGATAAGTGTGTAACCTTGGGGAAAATCAACCAAGTCCCAGACTTGATTCTCAAACATGAAGTCCATCTCGGATTTCATGGCTTTTTGCCATCTAGCAGATTCGGAGCTCATCATAGCTTGTTTGTATGTCGCTGGCTCATCACTATCCATAACTAGGATGTCTTGATTCTCGGTTAAGACGACACCAAGGTATCTGTCTGGTTGAGATCTTGGCCTTTACGACCTGGGTTTAAGGTTGAGCATTAACATTGTCGGTTTGACTCAGACTTGTATCAACAACTGCTTCCAAAGCCCTTTGATTGTCAGATTCATTTTGTTGCTCATCCACTCGAACTTCATCAAGTTCGATTTTCCTCCCACTTGTCATTTTGGAAAGATACTCCTTTTACAAAAAGACATCATCTCGAGCAACAAATACTTTGTTCTCAGATTGGTAGTAGAAGTAATACCACTTTGTTTCTTTTGGATACCCCACAAAGAAACATTTGTCAGATTTTGGTGCAAGCTTGTCAGGCATGAGTCTCTTGACATATGCTTTGCAACCCGAAATCTTAAGAAAAGACAGCTGCATAGGTTTCTTCGTCCATAATTC